CCCCTGGCATTCTGCTTCTATGCCACTTGGTTTACACATCCTAGGTTTTTTATTCTTGTTCGGAGTAGATAGGAAGGGGGCACTTCGTTCCAAGCCATTATGGATAATTTTTCTCAACATGCTAAGGCTTGGAACACCAGGGTGTTTAGTAATATTTTTAATAGGAAGAGGCAGTTAATGGCTTGGATTAATGGCATCCAAAAGGCTCTTGAACATTTTTCTTTTTAATATCTAAGTAGGCTTAAGGCTTCCCTCCATCAAGAGTTCGAGGTGGTCATCTTATAAGAGAAAATCTATTAGATGTAGAAGTCGAGGTGTGAGTTTATCTCTCTGGGTGATAAGAACATTACCTATTATCATGCACGTACGATGGCTAGGTGCAGAAAAAGTAGGATTATTATGCTTTAGGACAATACAGAGAATTGAATTTTAGACGAGAGTCGACTCAGCCACATGGCCACCAAATTCTTTCGTACCTTATATTGCGAGGAGGAGCCTGGTAGGCATGCCTTCGCTATCTGGGATAGATTCCCCACTCTCAGTTATGACATTATCACTGCTTTGAGTAGGTCGATCACCAGGAAGGAGATCTAGATGACTCTATTTGACATGAAACCCCTTAAGGTGTCTGGACTAGACGGTTTACATGCGACCTTTTTTTAGCACCACTGGGACGTAGTTGGTGACTTGGTGTATGCTATGGCTTCTAGAATCTTTTAAGGAGGCAAGTTGGACCATGACCAGAATAAAAACTTTAATCACTTTAATATCAAAAGTGGAGAGCCCCAAGTCTTTCAAAGATTTTTGATCTATAAGCCTATTTAATGTCTTATATAAAATTATCAGCAAAATCATTACAAGCTCAAGAATATTATCTGTGGCTTGATTAGCAATACACAAGCAAGTTTTGTTGAGGGCCAAACTATCTCGGATAATATTATCATGGCCCATGAGGTTATTCATTCGATGAGGAGCAAGAAGTGCAAGACAGGCTTAATGACGATTAAAGTAGACCTGGAGAAAACTTATGATAGGCTCAGCTGGGGGTTCATTGAAGATACTCTCCGCGATGTCGGCCTTCCCATAATATTCTTGAAACCATCATGCATTGCATCAGTTCTGGTTCCATGCAACTCCTCTGGAATGGTGTGGCCACAAAGGAGTTTACTCCTTCGCGAGGCATCCGACAGGGTGACCCTCTCTCACCATATGTCTTTGTTTTATGCATGGAGCGTTTGTCTCAATACATTGATCAGTTAGTGTGTAGTGGCGATTGACACCCGATTACTCTGAGTATAGGGGGCTCCCCAGTTTTTGTACCTCTTCTTTGCTGATGACCTGATCCTCTTTAGTGAGGCTTCCAATAGTCAGATACAACTTATTAAGAGGGTCCTTGATGAGTTCTGCTGGAGCTCTAGACATAAGATTAACATGTCCAAAACGTGCATTTTCTTCTCTCACAACATTGCAGATGAGGATGCTTCCCGTATTAGTTCCGTTTTTGGGCTCTAGGTTTCCAAGAACCTGGGTACGTATTTGGGGGTCCTTCTCCTGCATGGTAGGATTACTAAAGATACCTATAGGTATATCTTGGACAACGTACGTATGAGATTATTTGGGTGGAAGGCCACCAACTTGTCTATGATTAACATGCTTACTCTCGCCACATTTGTGCTCATGGCAATCTCGGCCTATGTTATGCAGACTATCGCGCTTCTCAACTCTCTGTGTGATCAGATTGACCGGTTAGTGCGAAACTTCATTTGGGGCTTTTCTAACAATGCGAGAAAAAAGAACCTAGTTAATTGGTGTGATATGTGTCAGCCTACCATGCATGGTGGTGATGGTATCATGAACCTTAAGCCCCTTAATAATGCATTTCTTATGAAAGTTTACTTTAATATTATTACTCAGTCGCACCTCCTCTAGGTTAAAGTTCTGTGGCATAAGTATAAGTGGGATCTCCAGGGCAGTGAGACCAAGTATTCTGGTTCTTGTTCCCACTTATGGAGGAAGTTAAGTGGTCTCTTAGAGGAAGTCCCCTTAAGGTTAGCTTGGCACGACGGTGGGGTTCTGAGAGGATAATTGGTTGGGGGGTTGCGGGCCACTCAAGCCCTTCGCCTACCAACCCCTTGATGATTCTAGTAAAGCTCAAACGGTTAGGGATCTGCTTACTCAGCATGGTTAGTGAAATTGGAATTGGTTACAAAACAGGCTACCGGCCAAGATCCTTTTGCAACTGGTCGCGGTGAGGGTTCTGTAGGAGGGCTTAGGTATCGATGTCCCCTATTGGGGCACCTCCCCGGATAGTAAATTTTCTTTCAAAACTGCTTA